AAAATTGTTTGGCGGAAAAAGACAGATACATACAACGAACATTACGAAACGGAAATTGCAAATTAAGTGTAAGGGTTAAAGAAAAGGTCCTTTATTTCTCACAAGTCAATTTAATTGGCGACCGGTTTCGAAGCTGTCACTTCATCATCAGGCACACCTAAATGGAATGTCAAGGAGTCAGTTGTAATAAAAAACAATTATAAAAGCATGAACGGACTTTAACATATACAAAATAACAGAAAAAACAGAAAAAACACAAAAGAAGTTAAACAATAACCTTGACTCACCTTGACTATTTCCATAAAGGAAGCGCTACATAAAGTTTAACAAAACGAGTTAAAAAAGTCATATGTAATACAATAGTATTTTTTAAAAATATTGTAGGTTAGGTTAAACCGCGAGATGTCTGTTTGAATAAATTAATTAAAACACATGTAAGACTATTATTAACTAAACAACACAAAATAGTTTTTACAAGCACAAACAGTTTAAAATTTTTAAGGATATAACGTCAATTAACCCCCACTCATTTGATCTTCAATCAGTTACTTACCACAAATTAATTAACTCTAACTCTCCCAATTTAGATTCTCTTCTCTGTTTCCATTAATTTTTTGCCCACTCGCATCTTATTAAATGTTTTATTAGTTTATTCAAATTCTCCCACGTGGTTGTCATACGCCAAAATTTGACTTTTCTTTTTTTGACATTCGTACTTGTCAACTTAGTTTCCGTTTCCTGTAACAGTAATTTTTCTTTTATCTGCTTCAAATTACCCTTTTACATATGAATTTTCATATTTTCTTGTTCAGTGTTCTAATTTTCTTGTTAGTATTTTTTGCTTTCTCATTTCCCAGTTTAATATTTTTACTTTCAATAAATTTTGTCACCGCCCCCTATACTCACTTTCAGTAAATAACACCTTTGTTAGTACACTATTTATCCGCTAAATTTAAAATTTACAGTTTACTACATTGATTCGTTAAAAAAATCTAGATAGATGTCTTGAGAGTCTGATAATTTTTACTTTTTACTTTTATTAATTGACGTTATATCCTTAAAAATTTTAAACTGTTTGTGCTTGTAAAAACTATTTTGTGTTGTTTAGTTAATAATAGTCTTACATGCGTTTTAATTAATTTATTCAAACAGACATCTCGCGGTTTAACCTAACCTACAATATTTTTAAAAAATACTATTGTATTAAATATGACTTTTTTAACTCGTTTTGTTAAACTTTATGTAGCGCTTCCTTTATGGAAATAGTCAAGGTGAGTCAAGGTTATTGTTTAACTTCTTTTGTGTTTTTTCTGTTTTTTCTGTTATTTTGTATATGTTAAAGTCCGTTCATGCTTTTATAATTGTTTTTTATTACAACTGACTCCTTGACATTCCATTTAGGTGTGCCTGATGATGAAGTGACAGCTTCGAAACCGGTCGCCAATTAAATTGACTTGTGAGAAATAAAGGACCTTTTCTTTAACCCTTACACTTAATCCCTACTACTCACATATGGCTACCCTCACTCCAAAAAAAAAAAAGGAAATTGCAAAGGCAAAATTATGTTGATCGTGATTTATAACATCTATTTATAAAAGATCTTTTATAGAAATTCTAAACTAAATGTCACCTACTGTTTTTTTTCTTTTTTTTAGTGTATGTTTAAATGTGTCAATACTAATTCCCAATTTATTGGCAGCATATGTAAAGGTATGTTGTTTAAAATGCGACTTAAATACTGCTATATATATTCAGATATGTGGGCTTAATTTTAACCAACGGCTAATATATTGCAGGACGTTGTGACTTTTTATGTTTAGAAAATAGCCATTCATTACCCTCCTTCGTCCTTTCTAATTAGAACTCCAAAACTTTAGAAACATATAAAAGATTATTTTTGAATCCATCGATTTACAGTTAAGCCATTCAACTAAACTTCTCATACATTTTAAAACTCTTTGAAATAAGTTATATTCCATCGTCTGTAATTTAACGAGGTTTTACTAGGAGGAAGTTAAGTACATCCTTCTGGCGATTTTTTTTTTTTCGTTAAAGGCTATCTAATTAGAGGTAACTTACTTCATCCTGTTCATCTCACCTCACTTTCCCTCCCCCCCTCTTATTTTATATGCAATATGTTAACTATTCAAACCTCTCTCCAGAGAACGGTATATAATCAATGCTATTGATACAGCTAAATTTAATTTACCTGGCACATAGGCAATGACTGGTTTGTATAGGAGTGTACATTAATCTATATTTTAAATACTCAACACTATACTGCCGGCATTTTTTTAAGACGTAGATTCAGACATTTTGAAATGCAAATTAATTTATCAACAGATTTATAGTTATTGAAATAATACCACACGACTATTTTTCACGGCGAAGTACATTAATAAAATGTAATAAATTGTAATAATTACCTTAATTTTTACTAATAAAATGGCACAATCAGAAATAGGCATAACATCTTTCTACAAGACTTTGCATAAGACTCTTTGTTACTAAAAGTAAATACAAAATTGTTTGGTGGAAAAAAGACAGATATCTGTCTTTTATGAGTAGGTAACGATTAGACGTCAGATCTGGCGGCGGTCAATAGATAGCTCTTTTTGGAGTCAAACAGAAAATATAACATTTTTGAATTGTTTTACTTTAGTTCTAAAAGTGCGATATTCATCTAAAAATGTACACGTTTAAAAGCAATATGTAGTAACTCCATTAAACCAAAACGTGGATCATCTTTCTTGTATTTAAAACCAACGTTTAAAAAAATCCATAGTGACGATATAAAACCTCTGAAAATTTCACGCTCCCTAAGTTTTTGTTTTAACGTTTGTAAGGTTATCTGTTTCTCTGTAAAAATACGTATGTTAAATGATATGAATATAGTATGTTTGATTCACACTCACTGTTTCTGTACATTTCATGAATAAAGTTTTGGAAAGCATTTTGATCAAAGACATCAAATCCAATAATAGTTTCTAAACGTTGTCGCTTCTTCGGTGGGCTTTCAGGAACTTCATATCTGTTGTGCTAGGCTGTAATATGAGTCACCGTTGTAAGACTTAGTTGTAAGGCATCTGCAACTCTCTGAAATATATTGATATAGAAACCCCCTGTATATCAATTTTTTTAATAAATTTGCCCAGACTCTTAAAAGGGGGTGGTTCGGTTCTAAAAATTTACAATATAAAATTAAAAACCAAATTATAATAAATTAAAAAAAAAATTGAATTTTTCTTCTTAGGGTCCCTGCTTTTCGTACTTCTACTGCTTCTCCTGCTTCTCCTACTCCTGCTCGTTCTCTGTATTCCAATCTGCTACTTCTGTTATCTGCTTCACTTTCCTTTTAAATTAAAATTAAACTTCTCTTTATCTTTCTTTTATGTTTAACTCCTTGTCTCCTCTGCTCACCGTCTACTTTCTTGGACTGCTTGTTTCCTCTGTCTGTCTCGATTCCTCTTACTGCTCTATCAGTTCTCTAAATTTTGAAATAAAATCTCCTTTTACCTTTTATATGTTTTCGTTTATTATATCTTTTCCAAAGCAAATTCAAAATATAATACAATCCAAAAAACTTTTTGACAATCTCACCATTTTACTGACAATTCTCAAAATCCACAAAAACCCCGTCATTGATTTTCACTTTAATTGTGATTTCAAGACACTTCACCACCCCAGTATTGCTCAATTTAGATAATAAATTTGATGACGTCAGGAATTTCTATAACAATATATTTATATACTTTATATAACATAGGTGCTCCTAGTTTCATGGATCTAACCTTACATTCAGCTTCAACACGTTATACATATTAAAAAAATTTATTTATTGGATGTAAATATCATTACTAACATCTCTTATAAAAGTAAGGGGAAGCAGTGGTCCTCTATTTTCACATTCTCGTTGACAAGTATTAAAAATTAAAAATTTAAAAAAACCGACTTCAAAAACGTGCAGATGCCAACACCACATCTTTCCAACAAAAAAAGAATTATTGAAATCGGACACCGTATTAAAGAATTATCGCTGAACATAAATAAAAAAAATATCGCAACGAATTGAGAACCTCCTCCTTTTTTGAAGTCGGGTTAAAAATAGTTCAACAGAGCTGTTAGCATTTCGTGACATTTGCTGGTTAAAAGTTTCGATATTTTAAATGTTTTTGAATTTTCACCTCACACTGAAGACTGACACAATCAATTAGTTTTGAAAATAACGCTTTAGTAGTAAAAATTACTTACTGTTTCTTGTAAATTTGAAAGAAAACTGAATACATAACAAATCAAAAAAAACCACCTAACATGCAAATGAATGTTGATTGATGAATCAAGTATTTTCGCTATGTCATATTGGCAACATCGTGAAGTGTTGCCCACCTTTATGGTGCGTTTGATTTGATCATCGGAGATCTCCGAGCGCTGCAAACGTGTTTGAATTGACACTCCGAGAGATCCCTAAAGTGTTTGTTTTGCTTTGGAGCGAGAACATAGAGCGAGCTCGATGTTCTCAGAGCAGATGGATCGAGAAGAGAGAGAAATTTGTCTTTGTCTCTACCTATCTCCTTTTAACTAACTTACAAACAAATTTGAATCTCAAAATTAAAGACCAGACAAGAAGTCAACAAATTACTTAGCCGCATTTGTCTTATAGCTAAAATTATTCGTAATAAAAAACACAAAATGTGTGTTTGGAAAATACATTTTCTCTGTCCAGATCTAATCACCAGTAATCACAGGCATGGAGTATGAGAGTGCAGCGGGCATTTGTGGTATATGCTGCACTTTAGGGCCATTACTCCTTATTATTCAAAGTTTTTCCATTTTCTTTACTTTTTGCTCACTATTTTGACACACAAACCAGAATCACAAAAAAGCGAGGTTATGTTTTTTACTCTGTTTTATTTGATTTGATTTAATGCTCTATTGTGACGTCATCATTTCTCGGTCTCCTCGACTCTCGCTCGCTCGAGTTTCAAATCAAACGCCCCTCAAAAGTCAATTTATCCTCCAGGTTAAGTTTAAATCGTATTTGCTCTTAGTTTTTTTCGTGTCATTCTATTAACAATAGAAATAACTAGAAATGACGTCACTGTTTTTTTTATCATAAAAAATAGTTTAATAAGATCGCATGCTATTTCTGTGTTTATTTGTCACATTGACACATATTTAAAAAATATATACTCTTTCAACTAACAAAAAAATCACAATAATAACTGCCGAATTCTGTTTGATATCGTTATTAACCAAATCATCTGACTTCCGTTATGTCTTTGGACAACAGGTTTCAAAAAGTAGCCGACGAAATAAGGAGATTGAAAACGAAACCGGATGACGAAGATTTGCTAGAGATATATGGTTTGTACAAGCAAGCCACCATGGGAGACATCAATAGAGACCGTTCTTTGTTAAGCATCGAGGATCTAAAAGGAAGAGCCAAATGGGAAGCGTGGCATTTGATGAAGGGCATTAAGCAGGACGAAGCCAAAGAGCAGTACATTTACAAAGCTCAAAAATTAATCGAAGAAATAGGATTGAAGTAATTATTCAAGAATAAATATTATTTAACCATGTAATTTTTTTTGTTTTTTATTTTTTATATTTTGAGTTGAAATTAAATCCTATTATTTAAATTATTGTTTTCTAAAAGAGACACTATGGATAGGAATTTTGTGTTGTACCTAATATATATTTGAAAAAGCTGACCGTCTTCCAGATGTTTTATGGCGGGTTCTTTCATGATATTAGGCTAGAACGAATGATGTAAATGAAAATGTGTTATGGAACATCTTGTACCTTGTCAGAGTTTTATGTACCTAATAATACATTAAAGTAATATTTAACAAGATGAAAGTCTTAATTTATAATAATTGTTTTTGGATTCAGAATTAATAACTTCCCATGGTATGATAGTTTGTTGAAAACAGTTCATAGAGGAGAATAGTGGTGTTTTATGTATATAAATAAAGTTGGTATGTAGTCTACTTATTTGAAATAGATATTTCTTTTTATAAAAAAATCTTTACCCATATTTAAAACAGGCATTGTTAACAAACCCGGCGAAAACCTTTGTTATTGCATTCACAAGAAAGTACCTGTTGTAACCTACTAATCAGTCAGTCACACAAGACTCGAGCATACAAATTGAAACGAAATCCGTTGTTAATAATGGCATCGGATAAAGTACCTGTTCATGACTTTATAAATCGATTCAATATTAAAATATCTGAAAGGGAGCTGGGATTTATCATGCAAACTTAGGGATGACCACTAGTCTAAACCTGGGATTACTGGCAACAGTCCTCATGCTGAAATAACAGGAATGCTGTGCCCCATTTTTGGTAAATGCTTATAGATAAGAGTCTTTATTATGAGATATAGTTAGGCTTTCCTTAAAACACTGAAAAGGATATAAGTACAATCCAAATTAATATTGGGTTGCCAACAGTCTCCAGGCACTGGCAAGACATAATAATGTGGTTATGCGTGAGTGCTCAGATATGAGGCTGGGAAATGAAAAAGCAGACCCACTAAAAACTGGACTAAAATCTATATGTACTATCTTATAATAATATGTTGTTAAATATTTGCTACTAGATCAAGTGAATAGCCATAGGCTCTAGGTAGAACTTTTTGAACTCAGTCCAGAATATAGAGGGCCATTCCAACAGCAGATAAATTAAACTGCTCAATCTACTAGGGATATCTGACCACTTCGTATATAAAAAATTTAAAGAGGAAGACGTAACTCCTATTCGCATACTATGTTATTGTCGGAACCTTAAAAGGGAACGGTAATGGTACTTCGGGGTACAAAAACCGAAATCCTAAGAAAACACCAAAGTGCTTATCAAGAATATGTCTGATAATATATAATAGAGCTTCAGTGCAGGTGGGTTTTGATTCACATTTTATTTCAGGTACATAACTAGAAACCCCGTACTTATTTTTTTAGATTTAAAATTTGCATACGTTTGAAAAACATCCAATTGAATCACTCCCTGTATGCTAAGCAAGTAGTAGATTTTTACAATCTTTTCAAAGGAAGTAGGATGGATTAAAACGCAACAATATTTATCAGATATTAAAAATAAAATATCTTTGTTATTACAAACTAAGTTTATCCTTACTTATAAATATGAAGTCACTGATTTAATTTCCCACCAATATATTTACAATATTCGACTTACCATGGCGACACTTTAGCGCATATTTCTCTGATGCAGCTGTACTCTTTATTATTGAAACAAAACATAGTCTAATCTACTGATTTAAATACTTCTAACTCTTCTGGTAGGTACTAGGGGAATTTCAGCGATGATCCTTATTTTGAGCTGTATCTTGTATTGTTGTATGCTCTCTAGTTACTGTCTTTGTATGAGTACAAAATGGTTTTCAGTAATTAAGATCAAATCGGTATCTCTATTGCCCTTTCATCCTCACTGTCCTTCCTTCTGTAGTGTTTATAGAATAGGATTTATATAAAAACGTCGGAAGTTAGCCGGAATCTGTAGATAATTTGTTTCGAATTGATATCACTACTACAGCGTCAGGTTTTAAAGTATTAGGACGTCGAAATTCTATAGCAAGACAGCAATTCTTCAAATTGGCTCAGCTTATGTCTCATCACAGCTTTATTTTCTTTCGGAACGCGATTAATTGTTACTGACGCTGAGCTTGATAAATCACTCATTGAATCTCTTATACAAATTTTTCGTTATCTCTTTTTCGTGCCATTCGAGTTAAATATCCAATTCAAAGACACCAACGAAAATAATCTTACTATTCTAAGAAATATAAGAAATTTCAAAATTTTAAAATAATTAAAACAAATTATTTATTCTCATTGATACCTCCATAAGGACAAAACAAAACCAAATATCTTAAATAGGAACTAGCCCAGGTAAGTTGGACATTTTCATTGATAATTATAAATTGACAATTTTTCACATATTTTTAGGTAATAAAATTACAAAATTGCGTCCAATGTGGGACGGTATTATAAAAAAACGAACTTTTTACAGTGAAATTTTGAAATAGAGTGTGTTTAGAAAAAAGTAGATAGTGGTGAATATAAAACAATACAATAAAAAGTGTTGTAAAATTTGTTATCATGGAGAAGAAAATTGAATTAAGAGGAGAAAAGAATATTGGACAATCATAAGAAGAAGAGGTTAGAGAAGATGAAAGACAAGGAGACGCATCACAACTAGATGAACAGAATTTAGAACAATAATCAAAATCAAAAATTAGAAAAAGAAGAAGAAGAAGAAGAAGAAGAAGAAGAAGAAGAAGAAGAAGAAGAAGAAGAAGAAAAGAACCTGAAATCTGAAAAGAAAATAGATGAAGATAAGCTAATGGTTATGCTTAATGTAGTAATGAATAAAATGCTAGAGGAAAGTAGAAAACGAAAACATAAATGAAATAGATAAGAAGAAAAAAAAAAAGAATAAATAAGAACAAATAATAAAGAAGAGGAATTGAAGTAGAAATAAAGAAATAAAGAAATAAAGAACAGGGTATGATTAAGAAAGTGGAGGAAAATAGACTAAAAGACAAAAAAATAATTCAAATATTGAAACATAAAAAGGAAGAAATGGTTAAAAAATTAAAAGAGTACATGGACTATAAAGCAGAAATAACAGGACAAAATACAATGGAAATGATTGAAAGAATAACAGCAGTTGAGAAAATGCGATTGAGAAATTTAGCAAAAAAAGAAAAAGAATTTAAAACGGACAAGAAATATGAAAAAAAAAAAAAAATTGACAGAATACAGTAGAAAGATTGAGTAATTTAAAAGAAGCAGAAGAAAAGAAAATTAGATAAAGAGGGAACGAATAAAGAACGAAGAAAGAACGAAGAAAGAACGAAGAAAGAACGAAGAAAACAAGAATATCAAATGGAAAATATAATAAAAGAAAATGAAATAGGAACAACGATTGTATAACAGAGGTTAGAGTATATGATAACTAGAAATGAACTAAGCAGAATTATTAAGAAGAAAATGAGAAACTGAAACATAAAAAATGCAAGTGATACTTAGTATGTGAAAAAGTGAAAAGAGACTGGACACAAAAAAAGTGATAATAAGACTCTTTATCATCTTTCAAGTCTGATGATGGCTTATTTGCCGAAACTGGTTCCCTAATTTATAATTTTATTATCAAAAAATATTGTGTGGTAAGGATTTTGTGTTAACTTTTTTTTAAGAAGATGACCACATTTGAGGAGTTGATTAACCTTCTTTGCCCAATATTTGTAATTTTTATCTTTAAAACGTTTTTTTTTTAAATATTTACTATCCTTTCATAGAATACAACTGAAAAAATTGCTATTTCAATAAGTATTTAAATTGATGCAAATTTGTACATCTGGCGCCGTCACTGTTTATGCTTTATGTTTACGTATTTAAGTGGTAATTCTGTAATTCAATACGTGTTAAATTTTACGATTTTAACATAAATTGTAATTCTGTAAAAATAAAATTAACGCATACGTTAAATTTACAGAAAAAATAAACATACGTTAAAAGTAGTTCAAATTTGCTATAAAAGTTTGGTTAAGTTTTAAGGCCTGTCAAATAAATGACATTCCTCTTGTCATATTTATTGTATCTGTCTGTTTTTGCACAAGAATATTGAAAAATGTAGCGGCCCAATTTACTTTATAAACTATTTGGTAGGCCATCAATTTTCAATATAAACAAAACTAACCCCAGCAACCTTATAATAGTGCCCTTCTACGGCAAATCAATTACTAACTACAAAAAGTTCATATGCAATATAAAAAATATAATTTCTAAATAGAATTTGTGTAATTTCAACTGTTAAAATTACTTGTTTCAACTGTTAAAATTACTTGAGTACTTTCAAAATGGTTGATTTTCGTGATTTTCTTGCATTATAAGTTGAATTAAACATTCAAAAGTCATAATTTCTTATATGTTAAGTTTAAAAGCCTACTAATTAGCACCTGTTAATATCCTCGATTTAACGCATAAAATTAATACATATATGTTAAATTTTTGACATATTTCTGCTTATAGAATAGATTTTTGTGGCACAAATGCACTATTATGTTAATTATGACAAGTTAAAATTTTTCATGAATTTACAGAATTGCTTTTCATATTTAACATACATTATATTTTTAACGTCCGTTAAATTTTAACATATTCGTTATAGAATTACCACTTTAGTATGTTAGTGATACACGTCATAAAGGCTCCCCAGACAAACGCATAAATTCCGCGACAACTGCGAATATTCGCGAAGCTGACTATTTACACGACGATAAACCTACGACCTACATATTATTTTGTTGCTTATTTTTCGTCGCAAATTCGCGTTAGCCTGGAGGAGCCTTAACCGCGACTATATTAGCAGCCCAAGTAAAACGAATCTAGCCTTATCTTAATTAATCGTGCAGTCGAACGTAGGGTTGCCATAATCAAAAATATAATTTCCTGATATACCTAATGAAAATTCCGGATATTTCTTTAAAAATCCGTACAAAATATTTATGAAATAATTACTAAACGTTTTATTAAAAAGAGTCTACGTTCTACGGTTGTAACGGCCAAAAAAACTGTTCATACGGGATTTTAAATATACCTTGATAATTTAGAGGATTTTCCTGAAATTTATGCGCATGCCGGACAAAACGCTAAAATGTCCGGACTTTTCCTGACATCAGGTAATCCTAGTTGTTTTTATTTATTACATTTCTTTCTCTTCTTTACATTTTAATTTATTTTAATTGATGGAATAAAAAAGGGTATTATTTCTACACGTAATTACCTTTTTATTTCATTGCGGTTATCCTAAACTTATTTTCATAAAAAATATACGCCTTGTAGGCTTCAAGTAATTAAATTCAGACGATATCTACCTACTCCAACGTTAATTCAAACAACCGTTTCTCTCTGTGCAAATCTATTAAC